TCATGGTGTCTTATAAGGTAGTTTCAACTTTTAATTCGTCAAAAGAAATCCTATCCTTACCCCGGCACTCTAGTGAACGCTTTTAGCAGTATTTTCACTTGGTAATATTATATTTCCCTATTTTAAGTAGCCTGCAGCAGTTCAGACGTTTTCTTCGGGCGCACGAATGTTTTTGTTCGGGAAAGAGCCTAGTTGAAATTCTAGCTCCAAAACGGAGAGAAGGAGATCGGGCGGGGATGGGGCGAAGAGAGAGGAAAGATGAACCGCTTTTCTTCCCGAGGGCTTTGAAATGGTATAATTTTCGGCGATTTCTTAACGGCGGCTCTGGCATTCAGCAGAATTTCACTTTTCATGACTTTTTTCCCGTTTTCTCGAAAAAGAAAATTCTTTGGAAACAGTTTGATCGTGATTTTCGAAAATGTTTCACGGAGGGGTTTTCTCTGGCTTAAAATGAAGAATTTCGCAATTTCAGTTTTGACGGCGAATTCTCCATATTTGCAGCTGATAGCCGCTCTTAAGAAGTACAGCCGACTGCCAATAACTCGAATGTAACCTTCATGAGGAAATCGAGAAAAGTTCGAGTTATCGTGGGTTCGTAGAAAATAACATTTTTTTAATAATAGAGATGGTGACTGGTAAGTTAAGGTAGTTAACGTTGGGGATGGGGAGGGAATGCAATGCAAGTACGATGCAGACTTCAAGGGCAGCAAGAAAAACTTTGATATTCTAAAAAAGGAATTAAACAACAAAGCTTGATTAGGATATAGGGCTCAATGTTTTGGACTGCGATAGGCTTTTTTTTTCTTTCAAATTGCCAAGCGCTCAAAACATGGTTCGAGTTATCGACGGTAAAGTTATGTAGAAATGATCTGAAGGGAAAGAAAAGTTACTTCGTGTGAGCGGGAAGTTCGAGTAACCGAGGGTAAAATTACAGCAAATGTATGGAGGAATCCATAGGAATTAGATTTTGCCTTGAGTTAGTGTAACTTTCTACATAAGAAACAGATTATTCGATGAAGAAGGGAGGGAGGAAAAGGGAGAAAATTAGGAAGGGAGAAAATTAGGAAGTATATCATAGTATACGTATTATCACGACAGAATAATAGAGTGCAATGGATTTAGATTCTCCTTAGTCGCTTAAAAGATGATTTAAACTGCCCCTGATGAAGGTTAGTTTTTAAAAATTGAAAAATTGGGCAAATCAATTACTCATCCATACGTTGTCCGATTAGCCTAGCATTGCCTTTAGTAAATGTTGATTAAAAACAAAGGAAGTGTCATGCGTCCAACATGGCGACGAAATTCCCAGCTTGCTATAATGTAGTGAAAAAAGTGAGGGATGGGCAGTTTTTCGAAGGAGAGGTATTGTATATTGAAAATATGTACTAAAAATCCAATAGGTAGATAACAAAAGGCAGAATTAAAGATTGAGAGACAACCATAGATCTCCGGAAAAGAGGCGCAGACTTTCTTGATGAGCCAAACAAATACATGTTGTAAGAAACACTGACCTCCACAAATTCAGTAACGAAGCATCCAGCTACATGTAAGTATGTAAGATATTGTTCATCCTGTATAATTTGTATAAACAGGTGTATAAACGGTTTCGTTTTAGATATTGATCGCGACATTTCGACCGGGTACTGCCGCTCTTCGTCAGGCGACAGTGCCGATTTGTTAATTAGGACTATTTGTACCACCCTGGTTGTTAGTGATTTTTGTATCATGAACCTCGCTCATGGTTGGTGGGTTTAGATCCAAAGCATTGTTGGTCTTATCAGAGGATGAAACTGTTCCCTCAGCGGTCTGCTATGTCGTCTGATCGTAGGCATCCACGCTTCAGGAATCCCAATTCCACTGTTCTTGTTGACTATTATTCGGGTGAAGACTCCTGTGAATAGCTTTTTTAACTACGAGAGTACTAGTGAGGGTCTCGGTCAATAACCTTAACCTCTTTCCAGAGCGGATAATGCCCGGTCTTGTTGGCGTGTTCAGAAACGGCGGAAGTTTGAGTTTGTGAAAGTCATATGTCCCTATCGTGTTCCTAAATCCCCGTTCATACATGCACCTTCCCATTTTATCACTAAACCATCGGTTATCTCGATTTTGCAAGTTTCACCAGACGAGGGAATAAGTACATAAAGTAAATTTGTTGAGTTTTCAACTCAAAAACTTTTTCAAATTTGTGCTTGCGTGGTTAGCGCACGAAGTGCAAAACATCTTGACGCCACAACCATGTTTACAAACCCTCATACAATCACACATCTCGGCCAATCACCGCACGCATACTATCGTAGTTATTTTATAAACTTTAATACACTTCTTTTTTGACTTCAACAGGTAATACCTGCCTGAAACGTTAGAAGAGCAAGATATTAAACCCACAATGTTTCTATCTTCATCCGACTGCGAAGCCTGGTTTGCTGTATTCCTCATCGAGTCTGTTACTATAGTAACAGTGAACCTCCTTTCAATCATTCTTTTCATAAAAAACAGTAATCTTCGCTCTCGCGGGATGTACTTGATTATAAATTTGACGGTGGCGGACGTGTTGGTGGGGGGGATTTCTACTTTTCATTTATTAAAGATGGTATACTTTTATTGCAATATTGTAACCTTAAATTTAACTGAGGAGGGTAACGTTGTAACAAATTTTTGTTTCTTTTTTTTCCCTCTCACTTCTCTGTCAAACATCGCTGTGATTTCTTTAGAGCGGCTGCATGCCACCTTTCGTCCATTCAGGCATCGCGTGATTAAAAAAAGGGTATACTGGGTAACAATTTCTGGTGTATGGGTCTCAGCTGCGGTGGTATCAACTGCCATTATAATACTTACCAACAAATGGAACCTTTATTACTTTGCTTTGTGGCAGTCGTACAGTTGTTTATGCCTATTTGTTATCTGTGTTTGTTACACTTGCATTTCGATCAAATTTTTCTGTGGAGCGCATCCTCAGCACCATGGTGGAGCCAATAGACAAAGAAAACTGACTGTGACATTACTTTTAATGACTGTTATATCTTTAATTATGTGGCTACCATACGCTTTGGGCTCTTTTATTAATTTGACAACCAATACTTTTAGATATATGTCTATCCAAGACAACGTTCGATGGAGCCTTTCAATGATTACTCTATTGTATGCAAACTCTCTTGTAAATCCTCTTTTATACGCTATCAGAATGCCAGCTTTCAAAAGAGCTTTGTTCGCATTATTTAAACAAAGGCGGGATGCTGTTGTTCCACCTCATCCATGATACATGTAACTAACAAGCGTTAATATGATTACACTTTATTGTTTTATGTCAAATACTTACTTGGGCTTATTAATTAATAAATTAAATGAAAAAAACATGATTTCTTTGAGGTTTTTATGCTATCTGTGAAAACTAAGTAGGAGGTTCTATAATGAAACTGTTTGAGATTTCTCGGGATTTTGTTTGCAAAATTCACCTTTTTTTGGATTGAATACTTATCCTTGCTAAATGAAACCCCTAACGCTATTTTGTAGGCAAACTCTATTTTTAGCGGAGCTCTAGGCGCGCCTTTCGTAGCCCCATACCTAAGAAAATGTGGTAATCTGCTCACCCGAGAATTTTTGGTAATCACGTGACCGTACGCCCGACCGACCGACCGACCGACCGTCCATCCGCACCACGGGGAAACCAATGTTAAATCTCACACGATCTGGCTTGTGTGAGAGCCTGCAGCCTGATATTGCACATCCATGTTGTGGTAAATAGCCTAGTTTCGAATTGTTTGTACGAGAATGCCTGGTAACTAGTTTATAGCATCAAGTCGAGGCTGAAGGGAATACGCCTGAAAGTTTACGAACCATTGCGACTGCAAGTAAAAAATTAGGTATTGTGCCATCTCTGTGTGTAAGAATCATTCTGAAAAAAGACCAGACCTAATTTTTTTCGATTTTCCGAGCAAGGAGAAGCTTGGAAAGAATTGGAAAACCTTTGTCGTGGCGCTGATAGGGAGTTTGAGTCCGTGAAAAATTTGCATATATGCTCCGAGCATTTTGAGAGAAAGCACATCTTGAAGACCCTGTCTGAAACTACAAAGTTAGCAAAAGGAACGGTTCCGACAATTTTTAATCCACAAAAAGTCCCTCGAAGTCCAAGTCAACGCGAAAAACGGATGAATGATCCAAGAAAATGAAAATTGACTGAAGACAACAACGTAATGTTCCCCGCGAAAATTCCCCGTGTCGTATCGCCTGAAGTTGCTTTGAGGGACCACGACTACGTCCTTTAGGATGACAAAATTCACGGTAATTAGCTTCCCTCAAACATTCAAAAACGCCAGCGACGTAAAAGAATATTTTCCCGTTTCTTGCCAAACGGAAATTGACAAAAATTAAACATATGAAGGAATTTACCCAAAAAGTATCAAAGTTAAGAACCGATCGAGGACAAAACACTTCGGAACAGACTCAATGACAAGTCAGCATTAAGAAGTGAAATTTGTACGGACGACTTGTTGAAAAATGACGAAACTGTGAAATTTTACACGGGAATACCAACTTTGGCTTGTCTGACGCCAATATTTAATCTTTTGAAGCCTTTCGCTGAGAAGCTGAAGTACTGGGGCACAAATAAAGGGAAGAAAGTTAACTTTCAAAAGAAGCTTTCTGTAAAAAAGAGCGGCAAAAAGAGAAGTCTGACAATCTTTCAAGAATTTATTTTGAACTTGTTAGACTTAGACTAGGGCTACTTGTGCAACACCTGTCAGACGTATTTGCTATTTCCAAAGCTTCGATTAGTAAGGTGTTTGCTACCTGGATCTGCTTTCTTGCTGTTACCTATAAAACATGTTTTGTTAATTTGGCCTTCCAAGGAATCAGTTCGCAAAAACCTGCCCAAGTCGTTAAGAAATTACCCCAACACCTGTGATCAGAGTTGTAATTGATTGCACGGAGATATTCATGCAGTGAACCTACCTATATCTCCTGCTGCCCAACGTGCTACGTGGAGTGAGTATAAAGGTCATAACATGATGAAAACTTTAGCAGGGATAACCCCATCTGGATTTTTCAGTTTTGTGTCAAAACTGTGGAGTGGAAGTACAAGTGACCGAAAACTCACTCTGAAGAGTGGGGTTTTGGACCTGCTTACCAAGCGAACGGCCTACATTAACATGCCCCCTTTTTCCGAGAAAGGTAACTTATATGTACACTTCCTGCACAAGAGTTTCCTCAAAGTGTTAGAAATTGAGTATACAAAGATACAGAAGATTTCTCTGTAAATCTCTGTAAAGATACAGAGATTTCTGTAAAGATGCAGAGATTTATCCACTCCAGGGTTCTCGGGGTGTATTTGTGTGCTGGTTTTGCACACTCATTGAGAGAGCCACAGAAAGACTGAAAGAGTTCCATTCGATTCCATATTCTTCAAGGCAATCTACCTATACCACTTGTACCACTTGCTGATAAAATACTAATAGTTTGTGCTGCTTTGTGTAATCTTCTACCCCCACTAACAAAGTAGGAATTCTATTGCATGAAAGTGTGCCTCTAATTTTTTATTATCAAAACAATTCACAATAATTTTATCTTGCTAAAAAAAACTTAAAGAGACGGAAAGGAGTGTTGCATGTGATGCCATTTTGCTTTAGCTTTAAGTTTTACTTTGCCTCCTGTAGACATTTTATTGTTAAGTAAACAAAGGATGCAAATTCTTCAATGGGATTGCTTCACTAGTAAGTTAACCATGGGAGACGAGCAAAAACTATGTAAGTCTGAATCCTGTTTTGTAACAAAGTATTGTAAGCATACCAGTATGGCATCAACTGACTGTGATTCAAGTCAATTATTTCTCATGGTCTGTTCACTTTCCATCGTAAATCAGTGAACTGATTTGAGAACAGTGTTTGCATGGCTTTTGATGCAAAGTCAGCCTATCACATAGACTTTTCGCAGCACTACTTTACATTGTGTGCGCAACATCACACATAAAGAAAATGAATTTTCTGGTGTAGATTAATACACTTTCTAGGGATGAGAGTAATAAGGTTAGACTGTTGCTTTTGCTCTTGCTGTGAAAATATGGTAAAAATGTATGGTAATAAGAAAGCCATTCTTGTGCTAAAGCAGGTTACAAGTGGCTTCTTACTGAGCCTTTTGAGTAACCTCTTCAAGGTCCTTCAAGAATCCTTCCACTGAGGAGTTCAGGCACCACGTGTTCAAAGTTCAATGAAGAAATTTCTCAACTTCTCAACCATGTGCTCCCACAGTTCCTCACCAAATTGAACAGGTACTACCAAAATCCGTTTAAGAGTATAAATAATAAGAATTCAACGAGTTAATCTAGCCATTGCTAGCTGTCCTTAAATTTGATGGTTCCAAGTCGTCTCTTCTTTGACCAGATAATATTTGCCATCCACTTTCTCAAGGTACGAGGCTGCGACAATAAAATGCTCTTAACCTTATAACCTTTACAAACTTGGTTCTGTCTGGAGAAGCCTCTAGATATAGATGCTGTTTGTCTATAAAAAGCCCACTGTGAAAAACGTCCACTCTTGAGACCTTCTTTGACGATCTGGTGCCCTGACTTAGGTAGTAATGAGTTCGCTAGAGGACAGGGCGCTCTATTCTTATAGCTTCCCACACAGCTAGACACTAGACGAGCTGTAAGGCAAACTATACGACAGTGAACAACATTACAGAACCCTCGGGGTCTTCACTCACAGAAATGCTGCGCACTACAGAATCTTGCAACTCAGCGATAAACTTGCAGATTTGACAACTGGAGTCGAGGCACTCTTCTTATGGGTTTCTGCATGCAAAGTCAGATGGAAGATTCTCAATCCCAGTAATGCTGTTCACGTGAGCAGTAAAGCGGCTAACCGAACTAGCGGACAACTCCTTCTCGTGAACTTCTTGTAGTCTTGGAAACAAAGACTACTGTTCGTAACGACTTCGGTTTTATGATCGAGGAGTCTGGATGGTATATGGAGCGAAGTGCGCGTTTATTGCGGACGCTATGGCCACTGCTTCCGTCTTACCTCAGAGTAGCCATGTCACCTGATGTTTGCGCAGTTTGCGCAGGTTTGCACTAACTAAGCCAGCCAATAGCTGTAGCTTTTAGCTCTTAGCTTTAAGAGGATTATCCTTCTCTGTATTAGAATCGTTAACTTGTACACTTTGTTGTTACACCACTTATACGCTTTTGTCGTCAGCCTTAAAATAAAAAGCAAAAAGTGAAGGCCTGTGTATGATGAGCACTATCGAGCATTTTAGTGACTTTTTGGGGGGAGACAAAGTATTGTAATGGGAAAAATGTAGCAAAAGGCTGGATTATTTTAGGGAAAAAAAGCGTAACGTACAAAAGCCTAGCCTTTCCCTTCAACTTACAGTCGAAGCTCTCAACGAAGCAACCACCTCAGCGATTCGAAAAAGTGGTCGTAACTAGAGCTGGTCGCTTACGAGAGTGGTCGTGAGGAGAGCGTCGACTGTACTTAAAACTGATGCCTGTCATCCATTGTTTTCCATTTATTCCGCCGTATTTGTCACTTGACGAGTGGGTCAGTGAATTCAAACCAAGATATTCATGAAATAGCGCCAAACCTTTGACACCTTCCAACCAGTAGAATATAAAATGCCTTCCTGATAGCTTGAAAACGCCTTTTTTTAAAGGCACCTTTTTCGCTTTTTTGAGAACATCTCTTTCAACCTCAGAAAATATACCCTTTTGTGCATTTGATAGGAACATTCCTAAACGCAAAAAGGGACCTTCGCACTTTTGATGAGACTTGCTTGTAACCAAAACAGGTACTTTTTGCGTTTTAAAGGTTCGTTTGTTAAAATGAAAAACCGATGAACAATTTTGCCCCTTTTTTCTATGAACTTAATTTTTCTGCTCTTTTTAACACTGTTCAACTAGCAGGTTTATAAAATAGTAAAATTGTTGGAACCTTTCTCTGATTCTATTAAAAGGTGTACTCAGGTGAATTAAGGAATGGGTCTAGGGAAATTTGTAGGGGGGTGTTCTGGTTCAAAGAGGATTCAACCTTTTCACTTAAAACTTGTAGGCCCATGAACCTTTTAATTTCATAAAAAGGATATCAGTTTCATTTTGGATGATGGAGTTTCTTTATCACGTGACTTGCGACAACTATTTTTTTGCTATTTATTTTGTTCCAAATTTACACCTCTATAAAGAAATTTGATTTAATTCAATTTGTTTGCTAGTTAAGACTATAAGTACAAGGTTTATGCAACTAATCGGGGTTTTTGTAAATTAATTGTTTTGTACAAACTGCCGGTAACGTTTCCTGTTTAAAGAGAGACTGGGGCGAGAGGAAAGCATTGAATTATTACCAAGGAATAAGATACTTTAAAATTCCCCGAATCATTTGACATGTTTAGCATTAAACCTAATACAATATAATAAAAATTGGAAACTTTTTAAAAAGTTTGAAAAGTGGTGTAATTCTAAAATGTAAAATTTTGCATAATTAAGGCTAGCCGGTCATGTGACTTCACAAACATGCAATGTCAGCACCAAAAGTAGTTCCTTTTATCTGTGTACAGTTACAATCAAAGATAAAGGGAGTGAAAAACAAAACGAGAGAAATAACGCTAAGAGCTGGATATCAAGAAGGACCCATTCCATAATTCACACGGGTACTTACAGCAGAGATAAATATTGTAAC